CTCTATTTTTTGTTTTAGGTAAATACAAAAAATTATTGTCAAATTTAGCTTTTATATCTTAGTTTATTTATTGCTCGAGAGATTCTAAAATAATTATTGTCGAATTAGTCGCGACTTAGTGAAAATTAAATTAGACATCAAATTACAAAGATAAAAAATATTCAACATTAACTTTAAGTTGAACATGATGTGATAAATACTAAATTTATTATAATATAATTATTTTGTACTAGAAAATTTACGACAGTAGAGTGATTATTTAATGTCTTGGTGTTACAAGAAGATCTAACACACATAACACAAAAGATGGCATGAGGAGGCATTAAGATTTTTAGGCTGAAAACATTGGAAGAGGAAAATACAAATGTGCCTAGCCCATTCAAACCAAAATTAAAATGAGAACGTATTTAAATATTTATAGATTAAAAACATATTTTCTTGATAAATATTTATCTTATTTTCACTTTATTTAGTATATGTTTTCTTTTCTATATAAAAAAAAAAGTCATGAATATATTCAATATGTAACTTTATCTCTTTTTTTTTAAAATTTTTGGGAAAAGTGAGCCTAAAGGACAATATATGCGATGTGAACTATTACGTATGACTCATATATCATATAAGAGACAGTTGCTGGAAAGAAGCGGTCTAATCGGGGGAGTTTCGTTATGTTGGTTGGGGGTGCGAAGGCAACGCCCCACGGTACGGTACATAGACAATTTTATAATTACATATTGTACGTCTGGGTTATATATGTATATGTTGTATCGTTTGTACTTCTTTTCTGAGATTGAAGGAAAGTCATCGCTCTGCTCCCGAGAACGTATGCATCTTTGTCAAATCTCGTTAAATCTCGGGGAGTTCTTCTGGATTTTTTCGACATTAATAGCGTCTGAATATTTCTTATCATATAAAAAAAATATCATTATTCGTCTTTTAATTAGCATCATCAAAATTCACAGCGACTTAATATTTTCTTATCATATTTTCCACATATCAAACTAGAAATACATTTTATAATTTCATCATTTTTAATTTCTTGGTTTTCTTAAAATTATTTCAATTAAATTTGGCCTCATAATTTTTTTTCCTTTTTTATTTACTGCTTAAATTTTGGTTTATATTCTAAAAAATAAAATAAATAAAAAATAGCCACAAAGCAAAATGCATGTGCTTGCGCGGCTCGTTGGTAATGATCCAATCTCAGGAATGGCTTATCGCGGGTGCGAGGCATTGCACGGGAGAAGGGGAGAAGAAGATATGAGGTATTCTAAAATACCTCCATTTTATTTTTTTATTTTACAATTAAAAATTTTATTTTTGACCCTTTTACCTCATCTGAATTGAGAAAATAAAATTTTTATATTTGAGAAAATTTTTTAGGAGTTAGTGAGAAATAAGGGGTATTTTAATTGCAATGAATTTTCATCTAATATTGTTGTGTGATAGTAAATTTGTAGAAATAAAATGATATATTAACATCTTAATATAAAAAAGTATTTGATAGAGAGAATATGAGTTTTTATGTGAAAAATCCAAAAAGATTGAAAACTATGGAGTTTATCCCAATAAGATACAAACTACGTTGTCTAGCCTAATTAAAATAATTTCACTATGTCAATATATGTTATAAGATTTTATCGACCCTTGAATAACAATATTGCATAAGTGGGGTTATTGATATAACTTCTGCCTTGGAAGTGGTGGAATTCGTTAGTGAAGTGGTGGCGACTTGACTGCTGTGAAGGAAGACCAAAGGTAGAGGTCGTGTGCCACAAAATTTGTTGTCGGCGTCGTTGGTGGCGGTGACCTTATGTCAATGGTCTGATAATAACGACAATGGTGGATGGTCAGAAGATTGCGGCGAAGATGATGGTGGTTGGAGGATGGCTCGACGACAATGGTTCAACTGCGATAAGGAACGATGTTATGGCAGCCGTGACGGTGGTGGCCTAACAATGGTGGTTTGTTGATGTCGACATCATAACAACAATGGTGGTGGCATAACAATGGTGGTTTGCTGATGTCGACATCATAACAACAGTGGTCAAACATCGATGACGTTGGTGGTAGGACAACTGTTGTTTGGAGGCAATGGTAGCTCGGGGGGGCGGGGGGGGGGGTGGGGGGACCACTCCTCTGTAAATATTCCATTAATCAAAACCATTTCATAAAGAAAGTGGCTCCTCCATCAGGTTTTATATGATTGTTTCCCTATAAAGGCCAACCTCCCGAGCGTAAGAGTCCACTATCTTGTCCATCTGGCAAGCCAATGATCCTTGGGAACCCCACCGATCGTCAGTCTCTCTCTCAATGTTCTTAGGAATTGGCAGATGACCAGGTATGCTTTCGCTAACAGAGGGTTGACCAACTTCCATTACCGAGGAGTTGGTGATATGCTCAGTCTCATCTGCAAGAAGAATAAAGCATCATGAGCAAGAAAGGAATAAATCAATCAACTATGAAAAATATATTTTCATATCTATTATCAGATCCATCCCAGACATGCGAAGGCTCACTCCAACAAGTGGTTCGACAACAACTCGACTAGCTTCACAGACCAAAAACGGGAGGGCCACACCTTCATGCTGTTGGACCTGGGTCATCATGACCTCCTGAACCTGTTGTTGCACTGGCTGATGAGCCAGCCTCTAGCTGATTAGATCCGGAGCAAGGACCAATTCACCGACGGTGTGCTCGTCGGTCTTGCTCCAACCTCACAGAATCGTAACGAGTCAGACAACTCGCCCGTATCCTCCATCTTTTGTTTCTTGTGTACTACTTGTTTGACAAGCTTTGTTCACTCTGGTTAGCTCTCCTCTTCCAGTCACTTTGACCACCGCCTGGTTTTCTTCCCGCTGATTAGGCCTCACCCACGGACTTCTGCTTTGTTACTGATCGGCTGCTATCAAGTTCCTTCTTCATCGCTTCTGCTGGATGATGAAGTTTTTCGGTTGAAAGCTTGAAGACCTTCGGCATGGCTTCCACACTCATGAATTTTTTTTCCACTTATCATCACTATTATCTGTTAAAACTAACTGAAGAACTGAAAATTCAAAAATGGCGATGACAAAGTACTGTTCACGACCTATTTATAAATAATATGGACACAAAAATTCAAAGAATTCAATTATTATAAGTACTATTATGCAATAAAAATAATAATTTTTGCGTTTAATTTTCTTATTCTTATCGCAACTGTCACTTTCAAAAAGTAAAAAAAAAAGAACTAAATATGTACATAAAAATATAAAATATGATTGCACGAATCTCAAAAAATTCTAACATATTTCACTAAGTAGACACCAAAGGACTTCATTGAGATAGTTAAAAGACAAAGATGTCAAGTGTCGTTCTTTTCAATCAAAACAATGAGTTGATCGAACGAAAGCTTGGCAGAATGAAAGAACATAAGACACCTGATCCGAGGGACAATCAACTACAACTAGCTCTCGAATGATTATGAGATTCTTCACAGAGATGGGCAAAGGGTACCCCAATGTCTTCTCAATTCTCTGAGAAGGCCCCTTGTTCAAAGGGAGTTGCTTGTCAATGTATGATGATGCACTCTCTACTTGATGGTCCAAGTTCATTCTAAAGACAAAAGGGTCTCTGCTGATAATTCTCTTGAATAAGTCGACTGAAGACATTTTAGCCCACCAACGATTATTAGACAATTAAATTACAACACTAATTGGTCATTAAATGTTTTCCTTTTTCTTAGTAGTTATGAATACAAAACTGTTCCAATGTCAGTTATGAATATTTAAATCCCGAAGTCAGTTATAAATATGAAATGGTACAATAGTTACTTGTAACATTCCTATTAAATCAAAGAAAAATATATACCCCTACGAGTTATAAATAAGGGGTCATTTCTTTAAGAAAAGACTACTGAATCTACTATATGAGAACTTGTGTTATTTTATACAAAATTTCTCTCTCTCGCTATTCCTCTCGTCTGACAAACACTCTATTCTTTAGGTGTGATTCACAAGTCAGTTTTGGATTCAACACATACACACAAACTGATACATACATACATTCATATATATATATATATCTACTTGGTTGGGTATCTGCTTGTCAGTTATAAGTCACCTTTGGAATGAGGCTATCTCTGAGTGTAAAGTATGGTATTCGAATTATAGGCGTATGAGGGATGACTATATATATATATATATATATATACGTACATACATACATACATATACATTTACATATATCTGGGATAATCAATAGAAATGTCCTAAAATTAGATCCTAGGCTCTATGAAAAACAATTAGACATCATCGAAAATGAAAACAAGGCTGGGAGACAAAGAAACAAAGTGATAGGATGGATGAATTAAGAAGAATTGAATGACATCTATTTAAAGCCACCAAAAAGTTTTTTCATTGTTTACAGTTTACACCACGTTTGACTGATCAAATTTTAATCACTACAATTTATAAAACCTTCTGCTTCTATCTACAATGTATAAACATGATGTCTTAATTATTACCGTTAAAATAAAGGGTTAGCCCTTTACTTTTTGCTTATTTTGGATGCATTTATGAAAATATATTCATTGTAATATTATTTTTTTATTTGAATTTTAATAACTTTTAAGAATATTTATTTATAGATTACTGAACTATTCACATGTCTAATACCTAAATATTGAGGCCTATAAAACAAACTTAAGAAATAAATAGATTTACAAAATTCAGCCGTCCAAATGAAAAAATTATTGCATATATATATTGCATGTAGAGATGCATGTGGTGTCTGATCTTAACCGTAGATCACGATAATTTATGATCATGATGCAATTAAAATTTTTTTGAAAAAAAAATTTTAAGGCACCACACACATCTGGAGATGCATGCGGTGTCCGATCCTAATCGTAGATCACGGTAATTTACGATCATGATGCAATTTTGATGCACCACACACATTTGATATACAATAAATTTTTTTTTGTCAAAATGGAAGCTTTTATTGCGATACCTTGCGAACCGAAACTCACAGAGCTGCGTGCATCTTCCTTAAAAAACCTTTCTACTTCTTCAAAACTGTACTTAGAGATCGATCTAAGTACCAAATTTCAAAAAATTCAGACTTTTGCAGCGTTTTGATCTGTATATTATCTCAACAGAATTGGTTTCCCTTTGAAAAACCATCTCGCTGGAGTGAAATCTACTAATTTTATCCTTGATCTCGAGTATGGAAACCCTAATTCTGAAAGGCTCCCACTTCCCCACTTTCTTCGCGATGTTCTCCTTCATATACCTGATTGCTTATTTTATAGTTTTTCGGAACTGGAACCCAAAGCAACGCCCTGACGCGACAAGCTGCTTGATTTCTCTGGTGCATGGAACGCCCGCCGTCGTTTTGGCCTTATCCGCTCTTTTAGCGAACCCCGCAGTCGGCTTCGCCTCGCGTAACTCCAGATCTCAGAACCTTGCCCTTGATTTCAGCATCGCTTACTTCACAATTGACCTCCTTCATTTCCTCGTCCTCCTCCCCGGCGATGTCCTCTTCATCGCCCACCACCTCGCCACCCTCTTCGTTTTCGTTACCTGCAGGTATCTTGTTTTGCATGGCGCCTTTGCAATTCTGGTCCTTTTGGTGCTTGCGGAGGTCACTAGCGCTTGCCAGAATATTTGGACCCTTGCTGGACTTCGGCGAACGGACCTGGCTGTGGCTGCCAATGTTTATCGGATTCTGTCTCCACCGTTCTATGTTTTGTATTCGATCATGAGGGTAGTTCTTGGACCTCTGTTCTTCTTGAAGATGAGCATGTATTATTTGAGTGGTGAAGCAGATGATGTCATTCCTAGATGGGTTTCTGTTTCGTGGATTGTGGTTGTTGGGGGAGCTATATTGGTAAGCATCATGTGGATCTCGAATCTTTGGGTGGAACTAGTTAGGGAAATGAAGGGGATAACTGAGAAGAAAGAGAGGTAGCTATGGTTATTCTTGCATTGTTCATTCTGTTGGTTGATTTGGCAAGCTTCTGATGTTGAAACACAACAGCAGTAGAAGTTTCGCTCCTCTTAGTTAAATGTGGCAGCTACCAAAAATATCAAGTATTTATTGAATTTCTATTTTATGAATAACATTCATGAATCTGTATATTTCAATGATTTATTAGTAACTCTTTGATTCCTTTGTTATTGAAAATTGGGGGGGATTATGGATCCTTTAGTTATTCCACACACATGCATTGTGCTTATTTCTTGTTCCTCAATATTTTAGGTATTGCCTAGGTTTGGTCAAATTTTTTTGGAGATTTTCTTCTTAGGGCCTGTTTGATTTGGTACTCTATACTTTCAGAAATTTTGATGTTTATTCGGATGAATTTCAACTGAAGTGAAAAATTACACTGCATTTAAAATTCATTCTCTAGTTCATTTTTAATTTGCTTGATTTTGGTGAATTTCAAATCTGCCCTTTTCAGCAAAGTATTCATAACGCCGCTGGCCTCCTGTAGATTGTTGCCAATCGGCCACCACCCGTCGTCATTGCCCGCCGCCACTACCAGCCACCTATCGCCGCCACCCTCTGTAGTAGTTCGTCTTCCGTCCACCACTAATAACTGGCTGCCGCCTATTAACCACCCCCTCCAAACGCTGCCACCACGTGCCAGCGACGTATATTACATTGATTTTGTTTTTTCCAAACTAAACAATAAAATGTGAAGTCTTGCATTTAGTTTACATGGAATTAAACAACTTCAAATTATTCAAAATACAATACATTCCTTCTACACTGCATTCTTTTTTCAACAAACCAAACAACCCCTTAGTGAAAATGAATATCAATCCAATGTCAGCTGATGGCCAAATAGTTTTTATTAGCATATATCTATCTTTTTTTATTTGCGATTATTTCTTATTTTATGGACAATACATTGTCAAGTGCTCTAATAGTAGCAGCTGACATTGAGATGCCCTTATTATTATTACTTTGAAGTTTAGAACTCCTACTTCAATTATATATTTTGCTATGATAGATTTTCTGTACCATCTCTTTACCGGTCGAACTTTCTATTGACAAATTTTCTGTAGCATATTCAGAAATTTATTCTACAAAGCTCATCTTGGCTTCTACATTATGCATTGCGTTCTGAACATTTTGTGACGTTTAACTTTCTTTTTCAATTCATCTTTCTTTCTGTAGCAGCAAAGTAAAAGCCCAAGCCAGATTGGAGTTAGATTTACCTGAAGGTATAAATAAAGTGAGCTGGTAGTATTTTTTTGTACTTGGAATCATTAGATTTCATTGTTTATCTATCGGCTTTTTCTCTTCTTTTCAGTCATTGTTTCAAACCGACTTTTCTTTCAATTTAGGTATTTATGAGCTTTTAATGTTTCATTCTGACGATTTTTACTATTTTTCAATGTAGCTGTTGTAAGATCCCTTAAATGTTATGAAGTGAAATTTTTAGACATCAAGATATTTTTTGGTGAAATATTTAGAGAGTGGTCCTAAACTTGGGTGTGCTCGCATTAGATCAGTGCAGGTGGTCCTCCTGCTGCACCAACAAGATAAAATCATTAGGGTTGTGAGATCTAAATGAATAATGTCTCAATAATTGAGGGTTTAGATGTGGTAGCTTTAATCAGAGTTAAGTTATGAATCATAATATAGGACAGTGTTATGTCATTGGAACTAATATTTAATAATGTTGGGGACCAAGCACTGTGGTGTGAGCCACTATTTTGAACTCTTATGAATTTTATCTGCGTGTGGATGATTTTAAGCTATTTGTAAAGCTTTTCATTTTGTTGATTATGGCATAATTAAATTTACAGTTCCTATAAAAACAGCATTCATTGTACCAAAAGGAATTCCAAAACATGTAAAGAGTTTAATTTCAGTATAGTAAACATAATTGTTGAGTTGCTCTATGGAGCTGAAGCATCCCAAGCAGACAGAATGCCGACGCCTAGGCGCTGGCTATGGTTGCTCATGCGCCCATTTGGCGTGTTTTGATAGAGGGGCTGGTGCATATGTGCCCACTTGTGCTAGATACAGAGGGGCCGACGCAATGGTCACATAGGCGCCCAATTTTGGCCATCAATACAGAGGGCTTGGAGCTTAGGCTCCAAGTTTGGGTGCCTAAGCACGCGATGCAGTTTTCCTTTGGGATTTCGGCTTTTAATCCCGATTTCGAGCAGGTTTCATTGAGCTTGGTTTTTTCTTTCATGAGCATCCCGGTGAATGAGAAAAGTGTCGAAGAGGTGGATTTCTGTGATTCAGCTTGATTTTTTTGTCGGATCGGAGAGTGAAGCTTGTGGAGAGTGTCCTGTAAGTTTTTTTGTGTAGAGAGGAAACTTCTGTGAGTCTTTTGTAAATATTTTCTGAATTTCATAATAGAATTTATGGTGTTGTTGCTCCGTGGTTCTTCCCTGTTCTTGGGTTTTTCACATAAATTCTCTTGTGTTTTTTTGGTTGCTTTGATTGTGCTTTCTACTTAGAGTTTGTTTTGATTTTTTCTCGAATTGGTGTGATCTCGTTATTCCATGGTATAGTTTAGTTTCTAATTGATCCTAAGCCGATAAAGTTGGGAATTATTCTTGTATTTTCCTTTTAATAAGATGATGGGTGATATTTCGAAGCATTTATATTAAGAGCACAAAACATAATATACTTCTTTGGTTAAATGGAAGAATATCTTAATGATTGAGAGTTTTAAGTTATGATTATAAGCCTTTTAGGATTTCTAATCGCTTATTGGACCTGTAATACAGCTTGATTTTGTTGCAAATTATAAATTCGTAAAAAAAAAGGTATTACAAATTTCATATATGCATACTTTGTATTTGCATTACTTCGTCAAATATCAAAGGTGAAAATTCATATAGTTTCTTACTCTTGTATATTTACAGTAGGTGGACCCAGAAGATGACGAAGAACATCTAAAATTTCTTTTGCAGTTTTCTTCTACATTACAGAATGGCTTTGCTTGATGCAAGTATTTTCGTCGGGATCCTCTATAATTATAGAATTAACTGCAGAGCTGTAGGATATGTTAGACTGGTCTGCTTTGCATTCTCTAGGGTAGATTCTAACCATTCAAAATAGATCCTGCGATTTTGCAGTGATAGCAGCACTTTGACTGTTAATATGTTATTATCTAAAAATATATGATCTAAAAAGATATGATTTAGGCCCTGTTTGGCGCAGCTTATACAGGTGCGGTGGCGTTTTCAGAATGCCGCCCTCGCGTTTGTTTCGCGTGTTCGTTCGGCGGCGTTCTGAACGTAGCGTCACGCGGATCTTTTTTCCTTTATTAATCGGATCGCGGGGATGAGGCTGTGTTCGGCTTTATCGCTGCTGGCGTTAGGGCTTGATTTCCTTCCATTGCCCTTAGTGATCTCTCTCGCGCTCTCCCCTCGCCTCCTCCCTCTCGGATTTAAAGCATCACTCTCTGTTGGTGTTAGGGCTCGATTTCGTTCTTTTTCCCTTCGAGATACTCTCTGGTAAGATCTACGATTGTTTTTGGTTGGTTTTTTTTTTGTTCTTCTCCTTCCGTGCACTGGATCTGTGAGTTTTTTGGATCTGTGAATTTTTTTCAGTTCTTCCCCATATCTCTGCTTCTATTGATTTAGATCTGTGAGTTTTTTCGGTTCTTCTGCTGGAGATCTTCATTCTGTTCAAATCGTTTTATGTATTTGGAAAAGGCTTTGGTATTGATGTGGGCTGTGTTCTTCGAAAATGGGCATGTGGAAGGAGAATCGTGATTTGTGCTGTTCGAAAATGGGCACTAAAAACAGTTTTGGATTTCCTTCAAAAATCTTCTTACGGATTTGAGAACAAATGTGCAAATCGTTTTCAATTATGTTGGTGTCCCTTCTCCAAATAACTGTTTTTTTGTTCTTCTGTTGGAGATCTTCATTCTATTCAAATCGTTTTATGTATTTGGAAGGAGAAGAACCGTGATTTGGGGTTTCTCATTTGTGCCTCTATGCAATTTGAAAACAGGCATGCGGAACTCTCATCTTGTCCCAATTTTATTGGTTCAGTAGATGACCACCGATTTGTGCTTTCTCGTTTGTGATGCATTACTGTGACATTGTTTGTAATGCATTACTGTTCCATAGCCTTGCAATTAATGTTTTTTATAGTTTGTAGTTTATTTATGGTGGATTGAATTTGCAGAGAAAAATCGTTGCAATTGTTTACGGTGGGCTGCATTTGTAGTTTATGGTTGCCAGAAAATTGGATTTGTAGTTTATTTATTGCATAAAAAAATGGATTTGTAGTTTATGTTGGGTAAAAAAATGGATTTGCAAAAAAACATGAATGGCTCACATCTTTATGGTGGGCTGAATTTGCTCTTTACGGTGGGTAGAAAAATGAATTTCTAGTTTACTTATTGTATCAAAAAAATGGATATGGAGTTCTTGTTGGATAGCAAAATTGATTTGTAAAGAAGCATGATTGGCTAACATCCTTATGGTGGGCTGAATTTGCATTTTACTTATTGTCCTGCTACATATTCTATGGCTCAACATTTGATGAATGACTCACTTTATACTTTTGGTATATGCGGCCTTCTCATGTAACAATTTGTAGGATTTTGGCTATGTCCTGCCGATGCGATGAATTTAGCAAATGAGTATATGATGTTAAGCCAAAGAAATGAAAATTGTGGTGTAATTTGAGACAGGCCAGCTCATTGACAATTTTTTTTTGGAATTACGGATAATCATAGCTTTTTTGGAATTGAATTGAAGGACATGTATTAGAATTTGCATATTACACATGTATTTTATATTTGTAGTCCTCTCTAGTGAGAAATATAGCTTTGTACGCTTAAAAATTTGATAATAAAACATGTTCGATGTCTTACTGTGGATGTAGGTCTTTAACCGAACCACATAAAAAACATGTGTGATTTTTTTATTCTTAGCAATTTTTAGCATTTATTTGCACAATTGTTGGGTAATTGAGATAATTTGATTATTATGTGCTACTTGCAATTCTTCGTATAGTTTCACAATGGGTAATACATCTGAAGGGGGTACCTCTGCAATGTGGGATAAATAAGTCACCAATATATTTTATGATCTATGTATAAAAGAAATTGAGCTGGGGAACAGACCTACAACATATTTTAATAAGGAGGGTTGGAATAATATTGGTACGAGGTTCAAAGAACTAACTGACAGAGGTTACGACAAGCTTAAATTCAAAAATAAATGAGGCCAATTAAAGAAGGAATGAGAAATATGGAAGGAGTTGAAACATGGATCTACAGGTTTGGGTTGGGATCCAATTAAAAGGACAATTGATGCTCTCGCTGAATAGTGGGCTGAAAAATTGAAGGTAATTTTATATCTACTCCGTGATTTGTTTGCTTTCCAAATTGGTTTTTCTAATTTTACTTGCTTAACTATTTGCTTTAAAATGTTATGTCACAAGCGGTACCTGCAGCGGAAAAGTATAGACAGTGCGGAATTGAGCTGGAATTTGAAAAAAAACTGAACAGAATGTTTAAATGTGTTGTCACAACAGAAAAATTTACTTTCAACCCAAGTGAAAGTACCTTTTCAGGGATGCCAGATGAATTCACTCCTGAACCATTGACACTTGATGAAGAAGTGTCTAACATTAATCAGAGAGATACGGGGGACTCTAGCACAATAAAGAGGCCCAGGGTTGCTAAGAAAAATAAAGAGAAAGAATATGTTTTGAACACCTCCTTCGATCGTTTGATTGAAGCATTTGCAGCTCCACCTATCTCTGATGCAAGCATATTAGACTGTCTGAGGCTTTTGCGTACTATTCCTGAAGTTGTTGCAGATAGGCCATTTCACGCACAGTGTGTGAAAAAACATGAGGATTCAACTAGAATGAAAATATTCACGGCGCTTGAGCCAGAAATGCGTCTTGAATATTTGTGGGTTTTGGTCGATGAATGATATTTTTTATGGATTCATTATGTATCAGCACTAATTGAGTTATGTCGTTTTATTTTCAATGTATGTTTGTCCTTCTATATGTGTCATTCTACATGTGTAATCTTTCTATATGTAGCAAATGAAAACTTCTATTATTAGCACAATTGTTAACATTTTAAATTGTTGGATAGTTGAATATTAATGTTTATATTTTAAATCATTTAGGATGGATCCGCAACGTGAACGTCGTAGGAGAATGACATTTGCTACAGCCGTTGCGATATTGTTGTTGGATTATTACCAGCATTGCACTACTCGCATTCCCCACATGACATCCACTTTTGTTGGAGATAGATCGGTTGGTGAAATGCTTTCTGAACATCCAATAAGGTTCAGAAATATATTCAGAATGACGACACCTATTTTTATGGATCTTATGCACGAGTTATGTCTAAATTATGGCCTTCAGGGTTCTTCTAGAACTCTGTGTAGGGAGGTGTTGGCTATAACACTATACATTCTGTCACAGAATGAGTCAATTCGAGGAGCTATGGAAATATTTCAGCATTCATCTGAAACAATTAGTCGTTACTTTTCAAAAGGGATACAGACACTTGTTAGCTTAGCAACTCAAATAATTAAACCAGAGGATTCATCATTTGTTACCACTCCAGAACAAATTGTCAACGATCCTCGATATATGTCATATTTCAAGGTAACTATCAGTGTTTTTATTTTGTTACATGTTATACTTTAACAATATTATTACTCTCTAACGGACAACTAAACCGAACTGTATTTATGCAATTGACGGTACCTGCGTTGATGCCCGAATACTCAACCACGAGAAGGTAGCATACATCGGTCGTAGTGGTTCAACAACGCAAAATGTCATGGCTGTATGCGACTTCAACATGTGTTTCACTTTTGTGGTTGCGGGCTGGGAATGGAGTGCACATGACTGTCAGATTTTCTCCTTTGTCACTAGGAATAGATCGAAGTGTTTTCCTCACCCCCCATCAAGTTAGTTTTGTTTAGCAATTTGTATATGTGGGATTGTGCAATTTTTTATTAACATTGTATTTTGTACCATGAAAATATTATCTAGTTGATGCAGGATATTATATGCAAAAGGGATACCTGAAGCCCTACCCTGACACGAGATATCATTTTCCTGATTTCAAGCGAGCCAGTGGCACAGTTCGTAGCATAAAGGAAATGTTTAATAAACGTCACTCATCTTTACGCGGGGTAATTGAAAGATCATTTGGAGTTTGGAAGAAGAACTGAGTCATCTTACGTGATATGTCGTCGTATTTCGTAGTATCCTTTCCAAAAGCAGGTGCATATTGTGGTTACAACAATGACACTACATAACTTCATCTGAAGACATTCATCGCAATCAGATACAGACTTCAGTATGGCTGACAATGATGAACTGAATGTTTTCGAGCAACCAACAGGACTTGTGGGGGGCATTCATTATCTGAGGAGGATATATAATCTAATGATTTTGGAGATCAAGATGCTGAAAGTTTGGCTGATATGATTGCTTAAGGGAGTCTATCACAGATGCTATTTGTGGCTGTTGATCTACCAAGTTTTCCTTTAATAAGATTATAGGTTTATATTCATATGTATTTAATTTTGATTTTTTTTTTAAATACCTTAAGCTGACATTTCATTCTTTTGTTATTTTCACAGTTATACTAACATGACCTCCAGAATATCAGGTACAGACAGAGGGATTTTGTGTTATTGTGGACTACCGTCTCCGTTGCTAACGTCACGTAAGGAACATAGCTTTGGGAGACAGTTCTATGGTTGTGTCAGGGGGGTTTCAGCTCGTTGTGGGTTCTTCCCGGTGG